ATGCTGTCCTAGTCGAGGCTGCCTTAAGAAAAACAGAAATTGAAAAGGAACTTCCTGAATAAAGGCAAAAAGTTCATACCATATATGGCTAGGAATATTTGAGGAAGACATCGGAAGACATCCTGATTAAAAAAAATAAGATTACAGCTACGTATAAGATTATTGCCAATTTGTTCTGATGAACACTTTTGGCACATCTCATCTGATGGTGTCCAGTACTCCTCAAGCACTTAAAAGAACTTATGCAGAGACAATTAAAACAAATGGAATCTGTCTTGTGACTCCACTGGGATTTGGAATTTAAGTGCCAGAATGCTATCAGTGTTTTATCACTCTATGCACTTCCTAGTGATCTTTCTGTCTCTTGGATTTGAAGATCACACACCTTGAACAGATCACAGGAAATCCAGGCAGGGAAACCTTTATAAATATATAGTAAGGCAAATAGATAGATCCAGTAGAATAAAAGCATAACAAGATAATTACTGTATGGTCAGAATCGGAGTTCTGTTTTTTGCAGTTGACCTTTAAACTGCAAGGGGTGACATTCTTGTCCCACTGAAACCAGTGGGATTTGTGCCATTGACTTCAAGATAGCTAGGATTTTAACTCATTTTATTAGCTATGAAAACAAGCCAAAATCCCAACTCTTCCTTGAACTCTGACTAACTGGAAATCTAGTTTCAAACTTCAGAGCCCATGTTCAGCTCTGTATTTAACAGACTCGAAGAAGAGGCTGTCATCTTGAGAAATACATCCATAGGTGACCTACTCACACTGACAACTTTGGGGAAAAGAAAATCATAGGCAAAAAAAACTGGTTTTCATGTTGGTCTTGCGACTGCCGCTGTGTTTGATTAAGTGTGCCTCTCCAGCTCCCTCCAATCCAAACATCTTTTCCCCCTTTTTCTTGAAGGAAAGCATTTGTAGCACCAAAACCTATTGCTAAAAGTTTGCCTGTTAATGTACCAAACTAATCAAGAGATTTTTACTAGCAGAAAGGAAAAGATGATTTATGACCATATTTAGAAGATAATCAGGTTCATGATGATTTGTATGGTATATGGGAGTTCCCTGTGGAGAATTTTCTCATGTCTGAGTCCCATTTAATAGAAGAAAGAAATTCCTTTGTTGGTGACTCTGTAACACAGAGGAACTTGGGGTTCAAAGACCACATTTATAATATGATATGCGTGACTATTTGCAAGTGTAATAGCTAATTGTACATAAAGAAAGGGCTGTATTTCCTCATCAGAAGTATACAATAAAGTAATGACACACAGAGTATGTGCCCACTGGCTGCAAATACCTTTCTAGAGGGAATCTGGAAGGACCCTGGTTTCTGGAAGAAATCCCCAAGTGCAATAATTAGTAGGCTTAATAATTTCATAGTCCTTTCTCTATTTCATCATTTATCTGTCTTCTGATGTCCACATTCATTGTATATTGATCTCAGCAGATTTCAAACGCAAATGAAGAGCTGAGAGTAGTAGAATGAGACACTACTATAGGGAACTGAGGAAAAAGTATTCTGCAATCAGAAATTAATGATGGATCTGGGGGCTTGCCTTCCTCTATTTCCTCCTCCTGTATCCTATACAAGGGACATTTTACATCTCCCTTGAGCAGACATTAACAGCATGAAGAATCTCTGCCTCAGAGTAAACCACTGTGTGGAAAAATAAGTCAGAGCTGGCTTGGAAGACGGTCGAAGTGACAGAAGGCAGCTGCACACTGCATAGGCTTGTCCGTCTTTCTAAGTGACCACCTGCAGAACCGACAGTACAAGGAGCCATCTGAAAGTTGGGGTGCATCCTGGATATGTTCCTGGCTGAAAATATTGAGAAATACAGACAACTAGGGAGGAGAAGATTTGCAGAAGGCTCTTTGCCTGATTTGCTGATCAAGGTTAGGAAACCTTGTTATAGTCAGGGCCCAACAGCAACATCCTGAAAACATTTAAGAACAATATATTTCCATTAAATTCACAACATGTTTTAAGACAGCTATCCACACTCTGTTGCCCATCAGCAGCTTGAGAATATCAGTATCCTTTCCCATACGCACAAGAGTAAAGACAACAACTTTCACCTAATGTCAGCCCTTCAGTTTTTTAGCAGTTTTACATTTCTGTTTAGTCTTCCTCTGGATTTTGTTAAAAACACAGTGGTACAAGTGCTCTACTAAATATTTATTCTGTACTACACATCTTGATAAAGCATTTTGCAAACAGGGAAACACAAGTGAGATTTTAATGGAAGGACAAAGTTATATCCCGGACCATTTACCTGTATCCAGAAGAAATGTCACGCTGCAATCTGTGTGTGTTACCATGAGATAACACATGCCTTCTGGAAATTAGGAAACACTTTGCCTTGCTTATGCCTTCAGCATACTAATGGGAATTATCTCATGGTAATAAGTAACCAAAACGTCTAATTCCTACAACAAAAAAGAAAGGAGAAAATAAACAATAACTACACTGTTATGAAAGATCACATTCCTTCCCACTGACAAAAATGTTAGTAATTGAAAATGCCTTGGGAATGTATCTGAACTAACTATGTGCCTGCACCTAGTGTATCTGCTGTGTGCAGTTTATTATCCATATAGGTATAAATACACATTGATAGGTACTATTTCCAGATGTGCACTTGAAAAAAAAAGGTTATACCTATACTTAATAAATTATGCCCATATATTTAACTTTAGAACTGCCTTATAACATGAGTTACCCTTTAATCAGAATTTGGAATTGCTTTGAACATGTGGCACTATTGCACCTTTTTCAATGCTGTAAATGTTAATGCTGCAAGAGGAAAATAGAACTTTTACTACAAGGATTTATGTGCAGGTTCATAACTCAGTTCCAGAAACGAAACATCTGACTATTCAATTTTGAAAATAATCAAATAGGCATATTTTAAAGGATTATATCAACTGAATTGCGTCTATAAATGGTGATTAGGTGGGTTTTTTTCACACTTTTAGAAAGAAGCAGCTTAAATTCCAGAGAAGAATATCTTTTGACCCACAAATTTCTTGGTTTATAGGTACTCAGTATTGGACCTTCTCTTGATTAGAGCAAACTGCAGGATTATGACACATCATGATGGACTTCCCTGCATATTTAAGTTTTGAGCTTACTGTGGTCTTATATGCCTGAAATCTGGCACAGACAGGAAGGCACATGGCTGTCTCGTTATGTTTGTCATCTCAGGGCAGAATTCTACCACTCTCGGCCTTGGGTTGTTTAGGAATTTGCTAGAAGCCAAAAAAAGAAAAAAAAAAAAAGGAAAAGAAGAAAAGATAAAAGTAAGGGAGGATGTTAATATTTGACTTTAAGATTAGGAGGATTTTATGTTAATTATTGATTTGTGCCCTTTAATGTATGTGATCTGTCCCTTGAGACTGACGGGATAGCTATAGATTACTAACGACCTTTCCCTAGACTAACATTAAGCAAAATATTAACAACAAAAATTGCATTCCTTTAGTCTTCTTATTGGTAAGAGATCAAAGAACAAATTTGCAGCTTCATAAACATGGGCCTCAAGACACATTCCTTATACCAAGGTGCAGGAATCAGCCTCATTCTTCCATTTGCAGGATCTAGCCTTTGGTGCTGGTTATTATTTGATAAATGACTAACACAAACATATTGCAGCCAATGGCTGGCTCATGAACTATGCGTTAGGATGATTGCTTAGAATATCAGCTGCCTATAGTTCGGCCTGACTAGTCAGATGGTGAAGAGAAGGATGGGATGGGATGGGATGGAGAAGGCTTGGAGAGCAACTGTTAGGTTGTAGCAGTAGCTACGCTAGTAGGAGGTGGGGATCAGCCACTCAGGCTTGGACAGGCCATCCTGGCTGTGCCCTCCCTGTCAGCCTGCCCTGGTCACAGGGATGCCTGCTGCTGTGGGTCTGTCCTAAAGCTCCCCAGGTGCATGGGATATGATAACTGTCATGAGAAAGGTGCCCAGGTGCCATGCTAAAAGAGGCTATATAAGTACCAGAGATATGATCATATTCTTTTTCATGTTGTGAAGGAATTCCCATGTTCACTGATGACATTGTTTTGAATCTATATTAAGGGCTCAATCAGTACACTTCTCTAGCCATTCATTAGTGTTTTTCTTACTGCTGGTCACAATAAATGACTCTGCAGTGAGTATATGTTTGTAAAACATTTGTCAATTTTGTCAGACCATCTTCCCTAAACTGAACAAGCATTTTCTTGGCTTTGTTCCTTGGTATTCCATTCTTGCTCTGCTATTTGCTATGCCCATTTAGTGCATAATTTGAATTTTAGACTGCTCTTCCATTTCTCCTCCACATCTTGGCATGCTACATACTGGTAATAGTAGTAACCAAGATCCATATTCTAAGCTTATTAACAGAAGAATAAATCTGAAGCTTCTGTGTTGGCTTTACCAGAGACAGAGAACTTGCAAGGACCATGATCTTAACACTGAAGTTGCATATATGCATGGCTTTTAACACAGATCATGTTGAAACATCAACGCTTTTGTTTGTATGAAGCCTTAAACAAACTAGTCTCCTGATTTCTCTCACAGTATAAAAAAAAAAAAAAATGAGTCTTATAAAGAGTAAGTACTTGTAGTTATGTAACTTGCACTTGTAATTAGTAACACAATTTCAATGGAAGTGGAACCTATCACCATGCATTATTTTGATAGTATTACTATGCAGTAACATTTGCTTTGGCCCATAAGATGAGTCACATGGAGAGCTGTCTGCATTAACAATGATGAGGACAGATTGTCTGCTGGTATATACTGGGATAGCCCCAGTGAGGTCAACAGAGGAGCTGTCTTACAGCCCCAAGGATTATGGCCTTGGGAGCTCCACCGTGAGCCTCACTGGGAGTCAGATCCAGTCCCTGGTGTGTATTCTCTAGGAGGTAAATAAAATGAATAGCTAATTAGGAATGAAAATTAGGGAAAGAAAGAATACTTCCACAAATGTGTTGCTCACTTTCAGTGATTCAAGTTTACTGTTTGTGCTACATCAAAACAAATCTTTTCCATTACATTTTTCTTGGGGGAAGGGAGGTGATTTTTTTTCTGAACTCCTACACCCTGGTTAAAAGCTTAAAGGAGGCTGAGTTGTGCAAGGCTGTGTTGAGACTGATTAGGCAGGAAAGCATGCTGTGACACTCCCATCTGTGTGAAAGAAGAATGGACCAGCTCCTGAAGTCTGTCCTCGCCAGAGCCTGATCTTCCTCCCACTTGCTCATGTCAGCAGCCCTGACTCAGGAGCAGGAGGCGCATCCAGTCCTTACTCAGCAACAACTGCTATGGAAATCAAAGGGAAGGGTGCATGCTCAGCTGCTTTTTATCCATCAGGATTTGAACTACTGTGAGTTCTGCTTCTAGTAAGATCTCAATAAAATCTGATTAGAAGACCTTAAGTTTTGATCTGGTAGATTTTCAATGTACTTCTACGGGTAAATATTGGCAAAAGAGGTGCAGTGCCAAAAGTAAGGCTCAAGATACAAATCTAACCTGAAAATGTTGTATATATATTTCAGTCTTGCAACTGAAATACACTTCAGTGTTCTCAAAGATAGACTTGAAAACCATACTAGAAAACGTTTTGGCACTCTGGTGAGATCTTCTGACCCATATTTCATTGCAATTGTATCAGATCTCTGTAAAAAATGGAACTATTATCTGAAGTAAACTTACTAAACTTATTCTCAGATAGCTTTTTAGTGTTCCTAAAAGGTGCTGGACTTTACAGTCTTTTAGCTATATATAGCTGGCATCCTCATAGAGCATTTTCACTGCCTCTAAGTTGATGAGTTACAGAGTGGAACAACTTTTCCTCTAGCAGCAGGAGCATACCAGGCGTCAGATAGGAACAACCGGCCACAATTAACCCCTGACAGATTTGAGCAGTGACCTAGAGATCAGAAGCAGCATATCACCTAACAGTGTGAAATACAAACATAATCCATAACCTTTATTCAATAGTGTTGTGTTTCATCCCACTGCAGATACATCATTAGCATGCTGTGGGCAAAGATGAAAACACCATGCCTAATATTATGCATTTATATAATGCATAATAATGCTTAGCATACATACAGCCCTGTTCATCCTCAAAACACTTCAAAGCATTTAAACCTGAAAAAAGCTGTGAGGTAGATAAAAATGGTGCTTCTATTTTATTTTTAATACATATTTTTTCCACTAAAACTTATGTGTAAGTGCATCACATCAAGGAACAATAGATCTATGGCCAAATTCAGATCAAATTACTTTGGTGAAACTATTAATTATCTTTGAAGCCAATGGACAACTTCCAGCAGTATAACCAAAATCAGATTCTGGATCCTATTCCTACATGCCATAAAGCTGAGCTGTTACTGAATAGCTTGGTACATCTAAAAATAAACACTTTGGTTTATTTTTAGCTCATTCTGGAAATTGGGTTGACATTGTTTCTTACTTCTCCAGCTAACTTAAAAAGTAAAATCTGACAACATGCTTCTTTTCTTGGTTGCTGTGTTCTACCTGTTTCCAGGCACTCTCCCTTCACAAGCTTGCAAAGCACAGTGATGGGGTTTTCCAAGGCAATGGTACTCGTGACAGACTACAGCCCTGTGTGGTCATTTATCACATCTCAGGGGTGACCAGGTAACTCAGAGTAAGGTCCTCTTTCCTCTCCCTGTGCCTGACTTTGGGTGTTAAGTTTTGTGTAGTCATTTACGCAATGCAAAGTAAACACTGCTGCCTATCATTCTCATCCGGTCATTTTATACCCACTTAGGACTCTTTTAAAAGAGACCTCTAGAATCTATCCTCTTTTAAATCCACCACTGAAGCTATTGTAGCCAAGGTTATTGCCAGCTCTGCAGCTGTTACAGGAGGTCCAGATGGCCTTTCTTTGTTACTGATAACCTCAGAGAAGGTGGGAGGGATTTCAGCTAAGTCTTCAGTCTGCTGTTAAGACATGGTCAGTTCAACTCACGGCAGTAAGCAGTTGTTAGCCATTTTGCTCTGCACAGAATATCTGGATGCGATAAAATTTACTTTCTCTTGTGGGACTAATACGTTCATTTGAACAGGCCATTGTGGTTTAACTGTTAAGAAGTCCAGGAATGCCTGTGTCATTTCTTCCGTTCCAACATTTTATTCTATCCTGTCATTTTGTCAATTATCTTTAAGGTTATTCTGCCAGTTCAGTGCAGTCAGCAGAAAGCAAAACAGGGAGACTGTTGGTTTTTTTTTTGGGGGGGGGGGTTGGTGAGGTAGGGGGAAAGTACCCAACATCACAAGCCATTTTAAGCCTCTAAAGGGGTAGAATGACTCAGTAAAATATGAAACCCAGTGCACTCAACAAGGTATCTTAATCAAGAAAAATCTTATAAAAATATGAAATAAAAAGTTGTCCCAAATAAAAAAATATTCACTCACAGAAATACACACATGCTTAAATGTTGCAATTGGGAGTTTAGCTCAAATCTTTCTTTCTTTGGCTACATTAAAATGGTGGAAAGACTACTAGAACTGACGCTGGAGGATTACATAGGGTCTCTGTGACAGTTAGAAACTTCCCTGAAACAGAATCATATATTGGATTAATGCATATCAAACCCTGAAATTATTCCTGGATCAAAAGCTGTTCGAGTTTGAATAGGAACATGCAATGCTGCTGCTGCTGCTGCAGGATAGCTTTGCACCTTTCTGCATCAACAAGCTCTTGTTGTGCTACTGGAGAATATACATTTTTGTTAAAAACAGATCCTGCCACGGGCAGCATCTCCATTTAGCAGTTTCTGTTTCCACAGAAACCACACCAATGAAGTCTGCAGAGGGCAGATGTGGAGTGAGAACATCTGTGACCACTTAGGTTAATTGCCTTTCCCAACTCTTCCCCCACTTCTGGGCTCTGATGGCCCTCTGAAGATCAATGGCAGATCATCAGGCATCTTGTTGCAGGCTTTCTGCCATCCTGCCCCATCTCCTGGGGTTATCTAAAGCTGGTTTTAAATCTGTATACAGAGAGTCCCAAAGGACACTTACGGAGAGTCTGCTGTCTCCTTTGTCCCTAGCTTCCTCTCTGTTCCTGAACAGAGCATTTAGTCCCTCTGCTCCTCAGATCTACAGCTGAGCAACACCTAGGGAAGCTTCCCAACTTCACAGTCCTAATGCAGTGGTGCATTATGTCTTTTGTGATAGTTCAGATACAGCTGTGATAGGAATCATGTAAGTACCTGCTTTAGATAGCTATTTTACTCTTTAACATGCTTTCATAATGAATAAATATTTTCAGATAAAAGGGATACTAAGATATTGCATTATGTTACAGATATTTCCAACATGCTACACTCTGTTCTCATTGTTATTACTCTGATAGATAATTTCATTCTAAGAATGTTATTATTTCCAAAAAAATGAGTATCAAAAAGGATATTGTCAGTGCTGATGCATGAAAATGATTCAAGCCTTACCTCCTCTGCCAGCATACTTAATCTAAACTCAAGCTAGTAAAAGGAAAGAAAGAAAATGAGATTTTTTTTAGCAAATTTGAAACCACTATCGAAAGCCACAACAGTCAAAAAAAAAAGACTGCAGCAAATGAAAACTAGGGCTGAAATTCATGCAGTTGCCATTGCCCCAGTTTTCATTGTGGTTCTACCTCAGTACTCTAGTGGCTTGCTAGCTTCCTTTTTGAAACTCTTCAGATGTGGGAAGAAGTTGGCTGTGGCTGTAGAGACTGGGGGCGTCAAAAGAAAGATATATATCAAAGCTAAAGGAAACAATCAGAACTAGTTATTTTTAGCCATGATTATTAAGAGCCAGTACAGAGATCTTTGGCAATGTAATACCAATTTATAACACCCTTCTGGATTTCTTCAGGCCATTAGAGGCATGCCCAGGGACAGAACAAATGTCCTTACTAGCTTCTTCAGACCATTGGCAACCCATGTTTTAGAAGAGTCTTCCTTCTGTCAAACAGATTTGCTGATACCATTTTAGAGGCCTTGGAGATGTGTGAGAAAGCTCTGTAACTACGGAGCTGTACTATGATTTTACTATCCTCCTCTCTGAGATTCAGGCTGATCAGTGACAAATGCTGCTTTTATTGACTGTTTTCATATGAAGTTACATGGACTTTTTTACAGCAGGTCTTCATAGTGGCTTAGAAGTTACAGAAATCTTCAGTTACCTAGAAAATGTGAAGACAAACATAACTACATTTAGGGTCAGTTTTCAGTACAACTCATCTTGAGACATATTTTGGCCTCTTAAATGTATTTATAACAGTATAAAATATAACAGTAGTCACAAGAGGTATGTGTTCCTATTAAAATGAAAAAAAAAAACAACCCACCCACCTCATTTCTTTAGAGGTTTAATGTATTTGAGGCAAATCATGTATTATTGATATTTTCACCAAGACTGTACTTCCTAGTGATTCTTAGGGCAAAATCAGAATCTTTACTATAACTAATATATATTTATGAAGTCTACATAGTCCAAGTATTCAGAGTACATATAATTTTGTCCTGTGGCTCCTATGAAAGTAAATAATTCATGGAGTCCTGTATCTGTACTTTGTAATGACTTCAGGAGTCCTTAATACTACTGCAGTATTACTACATGCAGCTGCAGGTATATTACTTCTATGCATTTGCCAGGTCTTTTGTTTCATTTTTCACAATATAGGATATTCCTTGTGCAATGAAACTCATTAAAGACCAAGATTTTGCTTTGCTTTATTCACATTTCAGTGCTCATCTGTTCCTGCATTATTTCTGAACCTCTCACCCTTTCGTTGTTCAGAATTAGATTTGAAAATTGTGGGAAAAGGTTTAATTCAATTTAGTGTCTGAAATCGCTAGTACAGTTGTGGATAGGATTCACTTACTGTTAAGGTGGTGGAACATCCACTTTTCAGAGCTGAAGTTCATGCCAGTCATCAAATTAACTACAAACCATCTGAGGTGGGTCCAGGAGGAGCGTTGGAGCTGGGAAGCCAACCTTCTGCTGGGCAGGAGAGACTGGGGTTTCTGTGCCTGTGCTCACCTGGCTGTGCTGCTCCCATCCAGCACATCCCTGCAAAGAAAAAGGAAAGCAGGCCTAATCACCAGACAGCTGGCTTCGTGGAGGAGGTGCATGGGCTTGGCTTCTACAAGGCACAAAGCAACAAGTATGTTCTGCCTGTGCTGCAGGAAGCTGCAGCTGACTCAGTGCTGGAGCTTCCTTGGAGGGATGAGTGCCTACAAAGCTGACTGACACCTTAGCTTCCTCACTAAACAAAGTTGTCTAGTCATAAGTAAACATGTAATTTCTGGCAAAAATGCAGAGAATGAGTGCATTTCAGAATAATAATGCTGTATGAACTCAAGTCTTGTGCTTTGCATCCTCTCTTTCTGCCTCAACAACCAGTCAGGAGCAAAACAACCAGGCATTCGCCCAAGCTTGAGAAGAGGCATGTGCAGGTTTCTCAGAGCTCAGGGTAAAATATCACAACTACTACACAGAGCTCATTGTTGACATGAATCTGTCCTTTTCACTTCTGATGTGATGAGCCAAGGCTTCCTCTAGCCCCTTAAAACAGGGATCCCAAGCAAAACACTTGTTTCTGTTTTATCTCTTTGGAGAGCAGCTAGGGGACAATGGGACCATCTTTGTGGTCACTTTCTAGTCCATGCAGCTCGTTGGTCATTGTCCCTGCATTTTCTCACTCAGGGGAGATGAGAGGCTGGTGGTAATAACCAAACACAATTAAACTAAGCTATTAAATGAGTGAGTGACCTTATTAACATGAAAGAAGATCGTAACAGTAACAACCATGGCCAAAACAACTGCAAAACAGATCTTTAGATAACAAGAATTACTACATTACTCCGCTTTAAATTTCAAGATGAACCAACATTTTCCTATGAATTAGTGACCACAACACATCCATATCTAAGGCAGGAAGTCTTCCTAGCCTTTCCCTTAGTCAGTGGTGCCATTAAATGCATTTAGAAGACATTTGAGTCTCCTTATCCAAACACATGCGTGTACACAGATCCATCCCGCAACAGGCTTGTGTCAGCAGGAGTCTTCACCAAGCAAGGGTTGCAGTGAGGCCCCATGCAGAGCCCTAGACACAGCCTTGTTCTTATTTTGGATAAAAGTGAATGCACTTTGATGAGCTAAGCAACCAAAATGGGTGAATATCCAGTTTAGAATCATAGAATCAACGAGGTTGAAAAAAACCTTTAAGATGACCAAGTCCAACCATTACCCCAGGACTGCCAAGCCCAGCTAAACCATGTCACTGAGGGCAAACTGATCTCACCTCAAGATCTTCCCTTATGGCTGCCGCTCATCATCTCCACTCACATCCATCCCTCATCTACCCCTGACAGTGGCCCACTCTGAATAGCTGCAGCCCCTACCCCCCATGGCCGCCCCTCACAGCCCATGGCCACCCCTCCTTTCCCCTAATGATTTTCCCTCATGGCTGCCCTTCCTCTCCCCTCACAATCTCTGCTCACAATGGCCACTCACCCCTCACTGATGCCCTTCTTCTCTCCTGCCGATCTCCCCTCATGGCTGCCCCTTCTTTCCCCTCATGATCTCCCCTCATGGCCTCCCTTTATCTCGCCTCACAACACCCCCTCATGGCTGCCCCTCCTTTTCCTCCATGATCTTCCCTCATGGCTGCCCTTCCTTTCCCCTCATGATCTCCTCTCATGACTGCCTTTCAACCCTCATGGTCTCCCCTCATGGCCACCACTCCGTTCCACTCGTGATCTTCCCTCATGCCACCCCTCCTCTTTTGTCATGATCTCCCCTCATGGCCACCCTTCTTTCCACTCACGATCTCCCTTCATGTTCACCTCTCCTTTCCCCCCATGATCTTCCCTCATGGATGCCTTTCCTCTTCCCTCACAATCTCCCCTTATGGCCACCCCATCTTTCACCTCACGATCTCCCCTCATGACTGCTCCTTGTTTTCCTTCATGATCTTCTCTCATGCCTGCCTCTCCTCTCCCCTCCCCTCAGGATCTTCCCTCATGGATGCGTTTCCTCTCCCCTCATGATCTCCCCTCTTGACAGCCCCTCACCCCTCATGGCCATCCCTCTTCTCTCATCATGATCATCCCTCATGGATGCTCCTCCTCTCCCCACATGATCTTCCCTCACAGCTGCCCTTCCTCTCCCCTTCATGATCTCCTCTTACAACCACCCTTCACCCCTCATGGCCACCCCTTCTCTCCCCTCATGGTCTTCCCTCATGGGCACCTCTGTTTTCCCCTCATGGCTGCCCGTCCTCTCCCTTCATGATCTTCCCTCACCCCTCAAGGCCATACATCCTCATGGCTTTTCCTTCTTTCCCCTCATGATCTCCTCTCATGACCACCCTTCACCTCTCATGGCCACATGTCGTCTCCCCTCATGGTGGTCAACAAACTTGTTATGGCTAGACCACAGCTGTTTACCCCGAGTAAACCAAATCTTGCGTTGTTTTATTCCCAGGAAAATGAAGGCCCCTGAAGTTTTCCTTGCAGTCAGTAATGCCAGCTCTGTGAGAAGAGAGCTGGGCCCTTGCAAGGACTTGGGAGCCTCTGCCATTCCAGCCACACAAATCATCCACTCCAAGAGCAGCATGATGCTGAACGTGCAAAGAGCGAGCCCAGTCACACTGCTCGTACAACATGGGGATGTTCTCTGCCCGTGCCTGCAACAGCTACAGAGGAAGAGCTGGTTCCCCAAACAGCTGGAAAACGCCACTGTCAGGGGCACTAACACAGAGCTCGCTCAGCCAGAACTAAATACACTATAGCGCATTTACCTATAAATATACCGATAAATATAGATGCATACATACATATTACCTATAAATATAGGTAATGAATAACGGTCTATGCCCTTTCACAAGCACATGCAATCCATCATAGTACTTTCCATGAGGAAGGTCTTTCAGAGCAATGACTGTGTTCACAGCATTTATGGTGTTTATAGCCTCAGCTACAAAACCCCATCAATATACTGCAATGGAAATTCAGGCACATTGTTTTTGTTGCGGTTTGGTGCAGGGGAGGTTGTTTTTTCATTATTACTTTTAGGATTTGGAGGAGGGTTAATGTCATGTAAACACCAGTAACATCTCAAAGACAAAAAATGCCTGTATGGTTCTAATTTTAAATACATGAGGTCATTGGTTAAGCATTTGAGTACTGTGTGCGGTTTGGACCTAAGCGGGTAGTTGCATCGCAGTTTTGCTGATCCCGTTTCAGCTTCAAAACGGGTAAAGCAGGCTGGCTCAGGCACACCAATGATTTACACAGACGCTGACACAGGGGTTTAGGAGCCTCCAGAAAGTCTGTGACTTGTGAACGCGGAGCTGTGCCGGAGGCGGGTACAGCCGCCCCACCGCCCTTCCTAAGGCCGACCCCTGGTAATGTCTCCGTGTCTTCCTACGGCCGACCCCTGTCACCGTGGCGAGCCTCTCGCCAAGCTGCACCGGACACCAGCACCCCCGTGGGGCCAGTCCCGCACCCCTCACGCTGGGGGCTCCGCAGGCGCCTGAGCCCCGAGCTCCGCTGGCCTTCTCCGCGGCACCGTATCGCCCCGTCGCCTCTTTCTCCCTCCCGAAGCAGCACACCTGCCACGGCCCGATCCCTCTCGGGCCAGCGCCCAGCGCGCCCTCCCGGCCAGCCCCGACCCCGGCTGTGCCCGGCGCGTCACCACCCGTCACGGCTGCCACGGCGGGAGGGACGGTGGCGCCGGCAGAGACCCCCCCGTCCACCCGCCCGCCCGCGTTTGCTGCTCCCGCCCGCACGGCCCAGCGCTTCCTGCGGCGCGGGGCGGTGGAGCCTGGCCGGCGGGGCCGGGCCCAGCGCGGCGGGGCGGGGGCACGGAGGACAAGGGGAGGGGAGAGCCGGGGCAGGGAGCGTGGGGTAGCGGCGGCAGGAGGAGGAGTCGGTGCCGCCGCCGGATGCTGCGAGGAGGTGCCGCGGCTGTCCTGCGCTGCCGGCCGCTCACCTGAGCGGGCAGGAGGAGGAGGAGGAGCCGGCGGTGGAGCTGCGCGAAGCCCGGCGGCGTCGAGGCGGGCGGGAGCGCAGAGGGTCGGCCGGGCGGGTGAGACCATGGCGCCGGGAGCCTAGCGGGGCCGGGAGCGCGGCAGGAGGCCCGCGTCCCGCCGTGTGCGCCCGACTGCCGGCGGGAGCAGCCGGCGGCCTCCGCCTTGGCCTAAAGAGAGCGGGCGGCCTTCCTCTCAGCGCGCCGGGTGCGGCGCCGCGCCGCGGCCCACAAGATGTCCACTCGGACGCCGCTGCCCACCGTCAACGAGCGGGACACGGAGAACGTGAGTGCTGTGCCGGGCCTTACCCTTCCGCGCCCCTTCCCCCGCCCGACGCCCCTTCCGCAGCCGCCTCTCCCCGGCACCTGGCAGCGGCCCGGCCCTGCTTATCCTGTCCTGCCGCCCAGGCCGGGTGCTCGGGGGGTGGGAGGGCCGCAGCCGTCCCCTCTCCTGGCGGGCCGGGCACTCCCCAGCCCCGGGCCGGCTCCGCCGCCTGCCCGCGCCTTAGGCTCCTCCATGCGGCGCTGCCGGGGCGGGTCTGGCGCGCTGGGATCCACGTCGCCCCAACCCGACCGCGGCCCCGGGCCTCCGGTAGGGTCGGCGGGAGGCCGCCGTTCCACACCGAGACCGGACAACCTCTTCCAGGCGTTGTTGGGCTGGGCCGGGCTGCCCTTATATGTACTTTGCGGTTGTAAGCGCATACAGGCTATTTGCTTCGGTTCCTCGCTGTGGAGAGGCCTGTGGCCCCGCGGGCTGCATGCCGGGCTGCGCTGCTTTCACGCGTCCCCCACTCCGTGTACCCCTGCACCGGGGCTGGGGCGCCCACGGGTGCGCTTCCTCACTGCCTGGCGCTCGGTCCTGTCTCGCCTTCTGAGGTTCAGCCGTACTTGTCCTTTGTTTGATTTGCACCTCGAAGGTGGTCCCCAGCGTAGCTGCTATATTCCTTCCTCTGTTTTGCTTTGTGTTGCAGTTGAGATAGGCTGTTGTCGTGTCCTTGGTATCTCCCGAGTTGTTTGTTTGTATCTTCCTTTGTGCGCTGTTTAAACATATTTGCGATCTTCCTCTGCTCCGCCCGCACTTGGTGGAGCAGAAACATAGTGTCATGGTGGTCTTCCAACAGAAAATAACCATCCTTGATTATGGTAGGCAGTGTACCTGGGAAATGTTAAAATCCTGGACCATGTTTCGTCCTGTCCATTGGTGGTGATTATTTAAATAGGCAGTAGTATGGGAGGTGTGAAACTTCTGTCTTAGCAGAGGGGACCAATATTAAAGAGGTATGTTTGGAATGTGGGCTAGATATAGTGAGTTACATTCGAGAAGGTGCAAGAGTCATACAAAATTTAATGCATGCAGTCACACCCAATGTTGAATTGGATAGAAAGTGATCAGTAGGAAACGAAGGAAGGTGGGCTGATGGGTTGAAATTGGTTGAAGAAAATGCTTGTTTGTATTGCATCAATGTGTAGAGGTCCTGGCCCACAGTAGGAGCTAATAATATTTGTTACTGTACAAGCCAAAGCAGCAGTGTCTGCTGAATAGGTTATTGAATTATATGAAGTGAAAAGTGAATATGAGAAGAGGGTTTGGAAGACAAAGGTAACAGAAATGAGATAATATAGTTAAAGAAGTGGAAACCCTAGCTTCCTGTCTTGTTATAATGAGCTTTTTAGTATCAGTTGCTCAGTGGAGGCTGAATTGACATAGCGATATCAGTCTGGTTACTAGTTAAAGCAAGTAAATGCATTTGGTCTGTCCTTACACTTCATGGACTGATGAGTCCTGTATTATTGTCAGAATGAAAGCAAGTCCTTGAGATTAAAATGAAAGTTTAGATTTAATTAAAAGACAAAGTCTGCGTTTGAGACTCATGAGTCTCCATTTCAATGTATATAGGAATGTAGATGAGAGAGAGATGACAGGAAGAAATATTCATGTATCTGTCCGGTAATATAGTACATAAGATTTGCAAGGTACATTTACACAAGGCAAATGGAAATCATTCTCAAATGCCACCAACTTCTGTAGAATGAAAACTGCAATTAAAGTGAGTAGTTAATTTAGAAAATAATACGCTACATCTGAATATTCTGACACCTAGAGATGAGTAAGGAGTATTTTTTTATTTTTATTATTTCAGAGAGTGCATTATCAACCTCCCCCCCGCCCCCTACACCAACAAACCAGGTTTATATCAACATCCTCAGAATTGCACATTTGCTCTTGAAAATCTTGGTATAAATCTATGGATCTATAAGGAATATAATCCTCCAGTGGGATAAACAGTAAAAAGCTGTTCAGGAGTAATTTCCCAGATCTGCACAAAATAATTCTGCCTCAGGAATTCCTCTTTGCTACCTGTGATCTCCCTTACGTAAGACCTTTTGCTGAAGTGGCACTTGTGGGATGGAGGAGGAGGTCTGTTGCTGACTTCCCAAACAGCAGTATTCTGTGATTTAAAATGGATTCTGTCAGGCTGAGGTGAGACTCTTAATTTACTTTGCATGTGCTTCTTCCTGCTAATAAGCACTAATGGACTAAAGAAGTGTTTATGCCAATGGGTCTTGATGCACACAAAGTTTAGCTAGTAAGTGTCAGTGACTGAGGTGGTAAGAAGTTGCAGCTAAAGGGTGAAGGTACTGGAAAGAGTGAGCAGTTTGAGAGCATCATAAGTATGAGTGGTTTTGACCTGCTAAATAACTTCATCTTTGTAGTTCGTATTTCCAGTTCCTGAGTACATTTATTAGCGAAGCTCTCGCGAGTTCTGCAGCTAATGGTGATCTTCAGGAGATCTCCATCTTGTACGCATGGCCATCTCAGCAATGTACCTCCATTGTCTGTCTCTCAAGGGACAGTCTGTATTTCTGTATCCTGAAGAGAGCTGATTGATGGTTCTGACTACAAACCTACATATATGTCCAGCTGTGGTTTGCACGTGGTGTGAGGCATGAAATCATGGGGAAATACCCTACCAGTACCACCCCTTGTCTCTTGGCAGCTGCTTTTGGTGCTCTTTGAAGTAGAAAAGAAATAAAATGTCAATGTATGCTTTTCTCAGTGAGTATGCAAGTGTGTTTTTTCATTTGGAAAAAAGAAGATATAGTAATTGGATATAGCCCCTATCATAAGAATATACATTCCTCGAGGAATTATGGGAGTTCGTGGAAGGATGGGTGAAAACTGCATGTTTCCATAATTCTTTGTGCCTTTTCTCCCACAGCACCCTTTGAAAACGGTCTAGAAAGGGATAAGATCATGCAGCAGATTACTTGATAAGGTCTTATCAGAAAGCTCATGTCTAAGGCACAGGAACCACCAACAAGGGACAAGCAACAGGTGGAGGGAAGCAGTACAACAGTCAATGTGTGTGGAACAAACAGGTCTAGTTACAACCATTCACACCCTCTCTTTTCCTTTTTGCTATTATTTACATCTTCCGGTGCTATGTTTAACTTCTCAAGCAGATGTCCATCAATATTTTCATTCGGGAATGTTATTTCTCTTTCATGAAAGCTATGCTTAAAGAAACAAAATAGAGTGTGTCAAACACTCCTATTGAATAGTTTATTGGGAAACTTGGGGAAATCAGTGGGTGGAAGCAGTATGACAAAGATTATTTTCATTCCTGTTACCAGATTTCATTTTTTCCAAGAGGGGGATAAGAGTAGTATTCAAAATACTGATTTTCCTGTGTTTTGATTTTGCACAAATAACTATTAACAGCTTCCTCTTGATACATTTTACGTAGGTTGTGGTAGGTAATGTTTCGTTGCATTCAAATGGTTGCTAGTGAGTGGTGTGGTTTAGTTTGGGTGAACTGAGCTTTCCATGTCTGCCTAAGCTGGAGGAGTAGAGGGACAGGAATCAAAAGTTTTGAGCTAGAGTAGCTTCTTTGTTTTCATTGAGTTGATACTCATTGAGGGAAGGTGAGCTTTTATATTTTTGCCCTTTATATTGTGTTGGTTTGTATCATGTCATTAAACTGGGGAATGGTTTTCCTGAATTAAGGCAAAAGAAAATATGTCAGTAATGGATTCTATTAAATGTTTTTTGGGAGCTCTGTATAAGAAAAGACTCATTCAACGGTCAGCTGTATGCTAGTTGCTCTAATAAAATTAATTAAAATGGTAATACTGTAGTTTTGCTTTTTCTGACATGAGGCTCTCTGAGTCTACCATCAGAATACTTCTACAGTAAGTGCAACTTAATCTTTTGAAAGGTATTACTATTATTTGTGAAGGTATTGTTAATTATTTGTGTTGCAGTGTCACACATGTAGCTAAACTTTAAGGTGTTACTTTGCTTTGTACTTTTCAGACACATAGAATTTGACTAATTGTGCTGCAGAGATCTTGCATATCTCCAGCAGAAGAAGGAACAAACAAGGCAGGAGTGTCGGATGGTAACACTGGGCAGAGTCAAGGAGGAATGTGGGAATTGTGGTTTGCCTTAACTTAACCAGTGCCATGCGAGAATGATGAAGAGATATGGCAGAGGGATTTTTAAGGAAGGATAACACAGAGACCTATGCTTGTGTGATTTGCTTCATTATCATACAAATAATAAGAATTTGGACATGTACACCCATTTTCAGGCTAGTGAGGGAAGGCTGATGTCTGATGCCATCCAAAGCTTTCTGATGGGGAGGCTACTAGACAACTGCATTTCAAAGAGG